TTTAAGTTAATGAAGAGAATACAATAGAATGAGACAAGCTCATACAGTCTAGGAAAGGTCACTGTAGCAGGGGCAGCATATTTTGACACTTCCTTAGATCTGCAAGGTGTCACAGGTAAAAGATACAATATATGACTACCATAAATGAGCCACACAATTCCTCCAGGATTCAACTACAGATGAATGATGCTTTATGCTTCTCCCTTTTCTCTGAATATGTGTCACAACAAGTTTGCATAACACCGGTAAGTTAAAAAGGTTTTGTAGATTTCAATACAATGGTTCTGGTCCTTGAACAAAGCCAGAAAAGCCAACGTAAGAGATAGGCTTGCTAAAATGAGAAAGCTAAAATGAAACGTATCCTAGATAGGCTTGCTAAAATGAGAAAGCTCTCAAAAGAAAAACATTTACAAAATAATTTCCCTATACTGGAGTGAAGACTGCTAATGTTACACCACCATGCCAATTTTCTAACCTATCATCTATCTGTGACAAAAGATTAGCAGTGTTCTGTAAGCCAAAGAGCAGTAATGTATTGTCACTATGAAGCAGTTATATTGAAGTTAGCAATTACTCTGCACAAACCAGCCAGAAGTCTGCTAATCACCAAGGCCTCCATACAATCACCACTTAAAAAGATGTTTATTTTTAAATCCTTCTCATTACTGAAGTCAAGACACTCCTGCATAAGTAATACAAATAAAATATTCAAGATAATGTATTTCCAAAAAGAGCTTTGGAAATCCCTCCTACAGGAGGAGTTAGGGGTATGCTAAACAACTTGGGTATCTTGCCAAGCACAGAATCCTTTTACAATACCTCAGTACCAAACTATCTAAAAATTCTGTGCTCAGTAGGTGAAATCCTGGTTCCAAGCAGTTAATGGCAAAATTCCCTTTGATGTGAATGGAGCCAGGATTTCATCCCACATCTTCATTTCATTGACTACAAGCATGTCTACTAAGCCTACTTGCACCAATTCATGCTAAATAATGAATTCTTCAGAAGAGAGATTTACCAAAGGATGCCAATATACCAGGGCAGACCTATGTTGATGCATAATAAAATTAAAATATTCACATACTAACTAACATAGAATAGGTTATGTAATGTTGTATTAGTATAGATACTAAAAATAAAAAAAATAAAAAAATCTAAAAATAGTTAATTTGAGCCTCATTAAATGAATTATAAAAAGAACCGCTATAAAGGTAGGAAATCATAGTTAAAGTACAACTGACTTCCTAACCTTCAGAAGCTTCTATAATCTCCCATATCCGTGCCTAATTCAGAGTAAAAGTTAAAACATCCATAAAGTTAAAAAAAGTCATATTTTACTTCTGAGATTAATTTCAGCTTGGTTACGGACATGCTTATTTTAAAAAATAAATAAATAAAAGGGAGCCAAGGGCAAGCAACTTAAATAATCAGCTACATGGTAAGATTATTTGAAAATATGAATAGATATCAAAAGATTAATACTGTTTAGTTTAGAAAAGATACAAATAAGAAAACAGGCTATCAAGAAAAATTATGAAAATTCTATTGGGAATCATTTATAATACAAAATGAAAGGCAACATTATCAAAGAAAATACTTTTTAATAGGATTAGCAAATGGTGATTATAGTAATAAGGTACTATTGAGCACAAGAGTTTATCAAGATTTAAAGATGGATTTAAAACCCATAATAAAATAAAATATGGATATAAATCTTCATAGCTAATGGCAAAAGACAACCATTGACTGGTTGTGTTAGAAACCTCCCCCTATAATTGTCCACCACAAAGATTTTAAGTTCTTTCCTCCAAGATATTTGGTACTAATCACTCTTGAAGATAGTTATTAGGACAGATGAGCCACTGGTCTGATCCAAAATAATGCTTATGTTCCAGAATATCATGCACCCTAAGCATCCATCCTGCAGTACTAACCAGACACAGGAAGTGAAAACAAACTAGGTTTCCAGTGACTTACACAGGAAGAACCCATTGTATGGTAAAGTTTTTTGGACTTTTTTTTTAACCTGACAGTTTTTTAAAGTTTTTAAAAACTACAGTCTAGTCATTTATTCTTCACCTACTATTTATCTCTTAATCTTAATATTTTATACTAACAATGTTTTCTGTTTTAAAATGTGACAGTTAGCTACTTATATGCACTGTCTCCCTTCACAATGCTTTGAATTCTCCACACTATTTTAAATCACCATGCCTTGCCTTAATTATTGTGAGTTCCATCAAAAAAATATCTAACGTTTCTTACACTGACCTTTTCTGACTTCAAACCCATTTGACCAGTAAGGACTAAAGTGAGAGCAAATCATGTAATATATTAACAGTAAACTATTATATAATAATATTAACAATATATTATATTAATATGCCCAAATAATTTAATATATTGTAAATGAAAAGTTTATTTTGAATGAATTGTTGTTGCTACCTTAATTGTTCCCATTTTTCAAATTTAGACTTCCTAATACACATTACTTTAAACAACTTATTTAAAATAAATGAGGCTCAAGAAAGCACATTTTATAGTAGTGATGAGAACTACATAAAAATCAGACTTAAAATTACTTTTGTATTATAAGCATCTTCATCCCAGTTGACAGTTGGGGTGGGAACTACATCTTTCAAATGACACTTAAACAAGAACTACAATTATCAGCACTTCTGAACCTCTGTCACTTACATGCTGAAACAGGGAGGGGCATTTTCTCAACAGGCTACAAAAAAGCAAGAGGTTTATAAATGGAAAAAAATGAGCTAAAAGCTTTGAACTATGTATTAAAACTGCACAAAGTGTAATATTTTAAAATGCCAGCGAATTTCTTTACAATAAAAAAGCATGTGAATATTTATAAAGACAGGCAAGTAATGCAAGCCTAATTCAAAGCCCAGTGAACAAAATGGAAAGAGGTATATTGATTTTTAAATGTTCTTTGGAGCATTCCCTAAGTCCAAAATTTTAAATGATCATTAGAGAGAGGCAAGATTCATTTATATTTGGCAGAGATGAAAATATAGGCTTTAATCCTGCCAACATCTGCATTATACATCTTCATTTTAACCATAAGGATAAATCTACTGAATATAAAGAGACCCCTCAGATGCTCAAAGTGAAACATGTTGTTACTTGTCTACAGGATCAGGACTTAAACCCAGTGTCAAAACAAAGATATTTATGAAAATATTTCAAGACATGTCTGGGTGGAGTTCCGCATTTGGATTTTAACATTTGCCTAACATTTTTGTGAAATAGTACAGAATTATAATATGAGAAATAAATGTATGGTCTCTTGCAATTTATACTTGTAATTGTAAAAGTAAACTAAGAGTATAAATGGTGAAAAGCAATTTAAGTCCTGATCCTCTATCCATCAAAGACAAAAGGAGTTTTTTGACTTCAGTCAGTTCAGCACCAAGACCTCTAACATTAAAATTTCTTTCAAGTATTAATACCAGAAGGTGTTTTAAATAACCCTGATATGTTTCTTAGAACTGCGGGGCTTTTTTTTTTTTTGCCTGATAATGTCCTTTAGCATTCTAACGAATAACCTAAAAAATAAGGGAAAATAGAACTCCAAACATTTCAACTATTTACTTCTGTAGATTATACGCTCAGCCTTTCAATAACTATTCTAAAATTACTATGGAAAACTGCTAGCGTATTTCTAAATTATTGATTGATCTTTCATAACCTGTGAAATATATACTGTTACATAATGCCTATTCCATTATCACAAATAATTACAAAGGTCTAAATATGGCTCTGAGAGGAAATAGATGCCATACTCATGCAATTACGGCTGTATACAACTACTTTATTCATTAAGCACCTCTTTTTCCCCACAGTTCACCAGTAAACCTCAAGCCAAACCAGTGATGCATTTAAATCCAGTAATTACTATCCAAGGCAATGGACTGCTTGCAACAATAAAGCAGGCATACTAATTCAGCTGCTGCTATGATCTTCAGATCTCACATCCTGCTCTAATGCAATTAGTCTACAAAGAGCTAATTACCCTAATCGAGCAATCACAGTTTCACTGACATCTTACTTCCTCTAACAGCTATAAACACCAGTGGGCTAAGATAGCACCTCATTAGTTCACTGTATCATTGTTTACAATGCAGTTTGAATTGATTATATTTACTACATTCCAAAAATACCTGGAGCTTTCTGTTTTACTATCAATAACTGTATACCTTTACCTAAAACTACTCACTCCAGGATAGTTTAATACCTATTACTGATGAGCCTTCATTTAAAAACAATATGCATCAGCAATACACAAAATATTGGGTATTTTACACGCACAAAAATAAGAAATATCAGACAAACACATGTATTTTGCAATCTTTTTTTAAAGAAACACTACACAGATTAACAGGTCCAAGTTTTCGTTTACATTTAACATTTCAGCCCAGTTCCCACGTTACACCTGCACAGACACGATCGTTTTCTATATCCACTGAGAGTAGGATAAGAATTGGCTTAATTTGCAACAAGGAAGATATAGTTTAACTATTTAAAAATTCTAAATATTAAAGCATCTAAAAATAGCTCAATACTGGAAAAGAATTGTGGCATCCTTATCTATATAACAAGTTATATAGATAGCTACTAGGAAAGATCAACACTGAAAAGTTCTTATGTTATTATAATTCTATGTTTTCCCAACCATGAACCTATCATCACCACCACACACTAAGACCCGCAACTCAGAAAATAATTTAACTCAATAGCAACAAGCTTGAGGTGTATATTTGTTATATTCAGTGATCTTGTTCAGATTAAAAAGGTAGCGAAAAGACAATACTGAATTCCAAATGAAGTCTAAAAAGTAACATTACAATTTCAATCTCTCACAGCTGAAACAGAGAGAAAAGCTACAAAGAGCAGATCATCTTTACAGGCACATCTAAAACTACAACACAGTAAAACTAGTTTTAAGCCTAACAGATTTCAATGTCAATATTATTTATACTTGCCTGACTTTCGGCACCATCATTCGGTGTTGTACCATTAATATGTGGCAAATTGATGCCATCAGTGTGAAGACTTCTTCACTCGCTGAATCTCTCCAGACCATATTCAACAGGGTGTTTGTCTGCTGTTTCGTATCAAGTTTCTTTAGACACTCCTCTGTTATATACTGCACTGATATTCTCCCATCTCCCTGTAAATACATGAAAAACCCCACTTTTTGTAACTTTTAAACATTTATTTATCAACGTCTATAGCTTTTTCTTTTTTAATAATGTTTCAGAATGTTATGTAAAGCGACAGCCTCATAGTGCTAAAAGAACTGCATAAACATTTCAAAGGTAGCAGCAAACAAGGAGTTGGCTTAAGTCCCCAGAAAGACAAGTATTTGAGTGCAATTTGGATCTGACCTATGCCCAAAGAATTCAGTGAAGAGATTCCCTGTGATTTCATTTGGTTCTGGGCAGATGACTGTAAGTAAACACAAGGAAAAATTCTTAAATGGCATAAAATACTAATATAGACACTAAGCAAGCTATGATGGTTTACAAGACCAGAATGGAGCCCAGGCAAGTGAGCCCTCAACTATCTCACTGCTTATCTAGCCATGTGCATGTGTCAATCAGGCATTTGGATACACGTATTCCAGTATCTAAAGTGTATGTGTGCTAGGGCTATGCAAAGCTTCGGTTGGTGATTCAATTCGGTGGAGATTTGGCGGCCAAATCTCTGAATCAAATCAGGAGACCCTTTAATCTCTCCAAATCGAATCAGAACCCTCTGAATCGATTTGGAGAGATTCGATGATTCAGACAGACACAGGTTTAAATGTTTTTTCTACATACCTCAAGGTACCAAGCAGCTCATGAATGCTGAGATGCTGGGGCAAATGAAGTGTCCCACGGGAGGATCCCCAATGCATTCGGCAGCAGACCTGGAAGTGGACCAGAAGCACTTCCGGTCCATTTCCAGGTCCGCCACAGAGTGCACAGGGGACCCCTCCCCATCCCCCAGCTCAGCAACTGGTGCCTCCTGGGTCTGGGGGGGCACCTGGGGTCCCCCTATGGCCGATCGCCAAACTGGGGGGCCATGGGTGGGGGCCACGCGCTCAACAGCGGATCCAGAAGTGGACTGGAAGTACTTCCAGGTCTGCCACCAAGCACGCAGGGGGGGCCCCCCTGCGCTCCTATGGAACACCATCTGCCCCACCAACTCAGTGCTCACAAGCTGTGCCTGGTACCTTGAGGTATTTAGAAAAAAACATTTAAAGCTGTGTCTATGGCCGAATCATTGATTCTCTGAATCAGCATTGAATCTTCGGATTCAGCCAAATTGAATCAGGATAGTGATCTGAATCAACAAATCAAATCACTGTCCCCCAATTCGGGCCAAATCTGAATCGAATACAGCCCGTTTCGCACACCCCTAATCTGCACCACTTCTGATCAGCTGCTCAGGACCACAATGAGTTCCAGTTGAATGGCAAAGTGGCACACTTCAAAGTAAAAGCTGCAGTAAGCAGTAAATAAGTGTTCTTTACTTAGCAACCTGCTGTGGTCCAAGCAGGCTGTGAACTGCACGCACATGAAAGATGTCTGTTCTACTATATATTGTGGTAGAAGAGAAGTCTCAGGACAGGCAAAATATAGCAGTATATTTATAAATCGGTGTGTAAACAAAATCTGAATAGACATCTAGATTTCTTTTTCCTAGTCAGCTTTCAGACATTGCCAACCCCTACAGATCCTTTACTCAATGTCCTGTTGGTATTTCCATTATGGAGATTTAACAAAAAAAAAGTTTGTAACAAAAATACCCTCTGTGCTCAAAGTCTGGCATACAGGCTGCCAACAAAACCCCAAACAAACAATGCTTTATCAGAAGAAGAAACACATTAGATTGACCTGGCTCCCCAGCATCTGAATATCTCTCGTGCTTCAGCAGGGCTTTTTGGCACTTTTATCTAATAGCTGATTCAATCAGGACACCTGGTTCTAGGCCCAAGTGGAGGTTTAAACCACATGTCCCACTTTCCACCACACTACAAGCTAAGCAAGACAGTGCAGCCTCCAAACTTCCTCTTGAATCTAACCCTTTGAGCAGAAAGGAATGAACGTTTCACTGGGACATGAGAAGAGCAATCAAGAGGGTGACTGACTGCTGTAAGAAGGGCACTCTGCTGGGAAATAGTCCTGAGTTCTGGCCCCTGCTCCCAACACTGTTTATCCATTTTATCCACTGACCAGTTACTGTAAGAAAAGAAACAAGAAAATCATAACACCTAGGAAAAAGGAGATGGTACTTTCAGCTGTATTTTCCATAGATCAGAGAGTAAGAATGTAGCAAATGCTGAAAGTAAAAGTTGAAGAAATGACTGTGAAAGGGACTGGGATTTTTTAATAGGACAATGGTAGATTTGAACAGGAAGAAAACAGTAACTGGAGTTCTTCAAGATATGTTGTCCAAATACACAACTTTCCCGTGTGCATGCATGCACCGTAGCACTTAAATTTGAAGACTTTTTGCCTTAGCAATGTCTGAAGGGAGTTCCATAGCTGTGCCTTTCCTGGTTCTCCAAACTGAAGAAATAAATATTCTTAAGTTCCACAACCAAAGAACAGAAAGGAGAGCAGGATCTGCACAAGGAAAACGCATCTCAAGAACCTCCAGGTGCTGGTAACTTCTCGTTCTCCTTAAAGGATTGCCCATATGCAGACCTGCAAACAAAGTCGTCAGTAAGCTTGATTATTTTTCTTTAGAGGTGGAGGACAGCTACCCAACTGTGGTAAGTCATCCCTCAGGCAACTAGCTCTGGTCCGCTATGAATATCAAAGGGCAGCAGGCAGGCACAAGGAATGAACAAGCTGCCCAAGGAGCTAGCAGAACATCCTGACCATGGCCCCTCACCTTGATTCTAATTCCTGACTCTAACTTCTTGGCCCTGGATTGATCTGTGGCTCCTCTTTCAGCTGTGGCTTGACTCATGGCTTCCTGATCCTGCTTGTCCCTGACCACCTTCCTAGCTCTCTGACCCTGGCCTATTCCCACCATAACTTTGGGCCTCCAGACTCAGCTCTGGCTTGACCACCAGCTCCTGTCCCTGGCCGTGAACCTGTCTGGACTCCAAAAACCAGGCATGGTTACCCACGTCTTGGTCATAACCTTACATACTCATTTGTCAGTACCCTCAGGAATGGAGGCATAAAAATACTTAGCCCCCCTCTAGAAAGGACCAGAAACAGCTTGTCCATAATAGTCTCAGTTGCAGAGCAAAAAGTAAGCCTTTCACATGAAATTGGCCAAACCCATTCACACCTCACTGATAGGCAAGGGAACTGATAGGCAAGTAAAGCCAGACTGCTGTCATATGTCAACCAGACTAAATGCTAGGTGAAAAATCTTCCTAGAGTCAAAATCTTTCTCAATCAAAATCCGAAGGGCCTGAGGACTTGATAGGCTCCAGGTTTAAAGAGGTCCAGAAAATCCTGGAAATCATGCTTCTGATGAAAAGACAGAAGATAGAATCTTTTTTCAAGAATGATAATAGATTAGACCATTATAAATCACCCAGTCTTTAACCAGGGTCCAGGGAAGCTGGTTAATCTGAGAAGGATCTAAAACATTTGGAGAAGACGACATAGGCAGCAGTGCCTTGGACAATCTTCTTCAACAGTCTGGGGATTGATGAGATAGATCTCTGCAGCTAGTAGAAGATACTCAAGAGTTGAAACCAGACACACATTCCAATGAACTGTTATCTAGATGGCAGGTGATGCTTTGGGAGCTGGATCCAAAGCCAGGCCTGATGCCAAAACTGGGGATGGAAGTTGGAATGCTGGTAATGACTGAATGATAATTGGTTAAGTTATTAGATATGAAGAAGGAAGAAGAGAAGTTGAGCTGTGTACAGACAGTGCAAGCAAAGTAAAGATATGCAGGGTCCTGATCTCACTTCCCTGCTCCATGGTGCTATAAGAGCCCCATATGCTTAAACTCTTGCAAGAAGATAGCATGCATCCAGGTTACCCAGGATATATGCATCTTGTAGCATTGCTTGCACACCACAACTATATTAGCTCTAAAAGGACCAAAGTAATACACTCTGCTAACAGCAAGAATTTTATGTAGAAAACTATTTTTGAAACCATTTTATAAGCAGTTTCTAATTATGTCTCTATAGAATCCAATATTCTTCTTCTCTTTCCCATTATAAATGAGAATAAAGGCTTCCTTTTATTTTAAATGTAGTAGGAAAGGTAACTTTTTAAAAATAAAATGTATGCCTCTCAATGATCATGTTCCTAACTTGTACTTTTAGCAACTTCTAGTCGCACTATATTTAGGTTTCCATTTAAAAATACAGGATTAAAAAAAAAAAACTGTTTACCTCTGTAGTTTAGTTTAGAGTTTTATTTATATTCATATATCTGCAGCATACTATTGCTTGTAACATACCCCAATCTAACTGATCACAGCATCTTTCTTAACAGTCACTTAGAGTTCTATGCTCTATGAGAGTGCCATTCTCTCCCACTACAAATAATAGTAGATTACGTGGTCTTCTACACAACAGGCTACCAGGCAACAATCATCTTACCTAGCTGTATAAAATACATTGTGAGAAAATTACAAGAGAACTAGGAAGAGAAAATTTATACTTTGTCTCTAAATTACCATAAAACCAATATCTAAAAGGAAACTTAACAGTCCAATTTTATCTTTGGTGTTCTCATGCATTTTCATACTAAATATACAAGAAATAATTTTAAAAGAAAGACTATGATAAAACCTGTAATTAAACAGTCACCTGTTAACCGAACCAAAATTAGCTAAACACATTTCATTCTACCAATAACAAGAGAAATGAGGGATTATAATGAAGGGACGTTCCTTAGCTATACTGTTGTTATAATAATTTTTTACAGGCAACTCGTTAATGCTTACATGGGTAGTCATCATCTTACTGATCGCTTCATCCTCCTCTTCAGAATCACTAGTTGCATCTTGACAATTTGTCCCAGTAGTAGACACAGGCAACTGAGAAAGAAAGGTTTGTAGAACCCTCAAGTACACAAGCAGTCCTTCCTCAGAAAGAGATCCTATTTCAAATAAATTGATACAAAAGTATTACACATATCATTCTCTATCAAGACAGATTAATACTGTGGTTAACAAGAATCCCTTACCCATTCACAACATTCTCAAACCTATATGTTGCATAGTGATACTTAAACCTTGGAGCAGTTTCCAAGAGGAATATATTTAATCATGGCCTTCATAAACTTATGTTTTTTTCAAAACAATGAACTCTTTAAGAATGTTATATGTAACACGCTAATTTAAAATGGTAATATATAATATACAATGTATTAACAGATAAAATATTCTCATACCTAAACATGTTTCACCAACCATTAAAACAAAATAAAAAAGCCAGGGAGCTCTATCGCTTTTTCTTGACCGTCCACTTTCTGTCAGTAATAGTGCATTCAGAAAGAGTTCATAAGGGAAAACGGTCTGCACATCAGCCAGCGCTGGAATGATGAAATGGAATATCTGATCCGTAAAAGGTGCTTTCAGAAGCTCCTCAGTGAAGGCAGCAAATACCTGTTGCCTGAAGGGGAGGGAAAATTTCTTAATAAAATTGCAAACAATTTTTCACTACTATACCCAAACAATTTATCATAAACTTGTAAATTTAAATGTATTATTCTATCTATCAGAGAAATTTTGTGTAGTTACATTCTACTAATTCTATGCCACTAAAACAAGGTTATCAGATTACTCAAAAATGAAATTATGCCCTTTTCCTTAATCATGTTAACTGTATTGTTAAAGCCTTAATGAAGCCACCAAAACAATTCTAAAACTATTATTTCAGTATTATGAACAATGACGTATAAAGTGAAAGAATGCAGTAAAAGGTATGTTTTTTCTGAAAAATCTACTTCACTGCGCTATCCACTACCACATACAGTAAAACAAACAGCTTTGGTTTTGGTCATACTTTGCATCTGCCTCCCAACATTATGACTTTGCTAATTGTTCTGGAGTCTCTGCACAGGTCTCCCATACTCTCTCTTGCAGAGTTCTTTTTCTTTCTTCAAGATTTTCCTCAAGCCTGAATTTCTGCTCTCACACTTAGTTATTTTCTCTCATCCCTTCCACACTGTGCTATCCTTTGGGCTCGATTGATCACCTCCTCATATCAGCCTTTGCCAGCCTTTTAAATGCTTCCTTCCCATGCCTGAAATAGCTATCCTTTTCTGTGCCAAATGTTACAAAAAATTGTAATACTACAATTAATTCATCGGCTAAAATTTATATGCATATACCATATGTATTTCAGAAGAATGAGTGGATATACAAGCACTAAGGGGTACACCCCTATGCTTACCTTGCACCTTCTGGACAGGAGCTATACGTAAAGTGCAATGGTTTCAGAACATTCTCTAGCAGTATTTTTGCAATAGGAACTCGAGAAACGTCGGAATATTCAATACTTGATGGAAGTTTATTATTAATTAACAAATAAAGAGACCTGTAGTATCCTACAAGAAACACAAACATATAGACAAGCTTTTAAATTGCGCCCGTGTATTCCTTTAGTTGCGCCCGTGTATTCCTTTAGTTGTAGAACAATTGCGTAATAATTTATAAGTGGAAAATCTTACATTTCCTAGTTTAAGTCTTACTTAAGCAATATGCAGGCAAACTAAAAAAAAAATTTTAAAAGCAAAAAGTTACCATCATAAAACACGAAGATCAGCAACATTTTCGGAAATATACGTTATGTTGTAAAATAGAAAGAGAGAGAAATGCATGCAGAATTAGACTGACTTTCAAAAAGTAATTGCTCCCGCTGCCAACTAGAAATAGGATACTAACTCCCTGTCTTTCCTTTCTCCAAATGTGTCCTCCTGTCACATTTTGGCTTTCTGAAATTTCAGGCATAATTATTGTATCCCAGAGCCTGAATGCTACATGATATCCTGACTGAGCCAGAAGGGAACAACGAAGGTGTCAATCTTTTTTCATACCATTAATGTTCAGAAGTTATTGTACAAGTCCATCCTATTTAATTCAGCTTCCTGGTCAATGAACTTAAAGCATAGAGCACAAATTTCATCAATATTTTAATTAACACAGGAGCACATATTTTATCAATGAAATCTTGGGAGGATAGCTTATCAATAATAAATACATCCAATTAAGATTATCTGCTCTGATGAGCCAAAGCCAACCCATGGCATCTGGAAATACGCTGAAAACATCTTTGGAAGGTTCATTTTAAAGACTAAGAAAATCTTTTTCACTCTCTTATTACATGTTAAAATTGAAATTTGGGAAGAACTTAAAATTGATCTGCTAGTTGAGAATTACACCAGAATGAAATGCTAAGGAAGGCTTCTTTGTTGGGCCCATTCCCTCCCAACAATACTCCTGACTTCTGAAAAAGGAAGAGTACATTTGTCAACATGGTCATTTAATTTCTTCGGCTTCAAGTACTAGATATAAACGTTTCATATTTACAATATTTTCCTCAAATGAAGCACCTCTTTTTAAGTTTAGACATATATACTGAACATACCATGTTCAACCATAAAAATGGTTCTTCAAGAGGCACTGGCCATGACTGACCCCTCTTCCCTGCTACAGTTTAGTCAGATAGCCCCTGGATTCCCCTAGTGAAGAAACCGAGGGGCAGCTGGGGTTGGCCACAGATACTGGTGGCCAAAATGTTGCCACGGGTACTTTGGATGAGTGCAAAAGGGCACATGCACACTGACAGCAGCACAAATGTGAATAAACACCTAGAGATGAACTATCATTTGTTTTCCCTCTGGTAGGATTTTAATACAGCAACTAATACATATTAATTCTTTTCCCAGAGAAGTCAGGATCTCAGACTAATAAGGTACTTTACTTCCCTCTACTTCATAGGAACACTGGTAACAAGAAGTCTCATCTATACACCAAAACCAGTATTTAAATCACTATATACCAGCATTTCAATACCTAAAAGCATTAAAAAATAAACACTAATCCTTTATAAAATATCAAATGTACAGGTCTTTTCAAAGGAAAAAAAAATATGAGTAAATAAATAGTTGAAAGATTTCTTTGCTTTTAGGTTCAGTCCTTCTGAATGTCATTTTTATACGTACCGCTATGTAGAACTGATCACATTCCAAATCCTGCAAACCATTTTGTCCCCTTTTTTTACTACTGATTTTTTTTCCATTAAGCAGATCTTGTGTCCACTGCACAAAATTCTACTTGCCTTAACTCAACCAACTTGTCATTAATGACCTGTATTACAATAAGTCATGGAGTCTTACCAAAGACTGGACAGTCCTTGTGTTAAGTACAAGACAACACATTAAAAGACTGTGGAAGTACTCTGGTACAAGTATATCAACTGTTAGTTTTGTAAAAACTGAGTGTTAAAATTAAAAAAAAAAAACCAACACAAACTTTACAGTATGTAGGCTAGAGCTTCCAAACATTTTTTTAAAATAGTATCTATATAAAAATACAAGTATGGCTTTAACAAACTTCTAACCAAGTCAAATTAATGCACAGCAGTCAGCCTACAAAGTCCTCCAGTAAAAATTAATTTATGAATGCAGCAATCCCAGTTATATCCATACTAGTATGTGATGAGCAGGATTTAGTTCACTATGTTTTAAAATAAAACATGGATATATTCTAAGCAGTTAACATAAAAATGACATCTTTTCTATCAGTAAGAGCTAGGTCAAGACGCTCAGTTTACAAGTAAAAGGTTTTTCATTCCTTCTAATTAACAGTCTTGCAAACTCAACCAGGGTCAGAAAGCCAAATTGGATTCTTTCTTTTTTTGCACGTCCCCACAAGTAATAAAGTTCCACAAGCCAAATTATGCCCTCAGTGACACTTACACAATCCATTAGCTTTCAATAGGTTTGCACAGGTGCAAGTGATTGTAACTTAGCAAACAGTACTGTTGATGATGGCACAAGAGAAATAAAAGCTAGGTTACTATCTCTTTGCTGTGTTGGCACTACAGTGTTAACAGGATTAAAAATTAACACAAACTGACTTTTATAATGACCACTTAGCAGATAAAGGGAAAAGAAGACATTGTTTTTACATAGTCATGTCTCAAAGTAAAAGTACAGTTTAGGTTTTGGAAGAAGGTTATTTACTTAAATGTGAAATAGAAGAACATAGATTTACTACTTAATATTAACCAATTGCAAAACTACATGTTAAACATCTGCATAAACTGCCTGACAGAATGCCTCAGGATGTGAGAGTTATAATGTTCTGTTCACAAACAACAGTTCAGTATCTGTAGACTCTTAATATTATTCATTATGTGTACTGTAAGAGTAAGATGAGATTAAACAACATGGCTTTAAGCAGCTACACATTTTGTTCAAGGTTGAGTTTCTCCCAGAATTTTTAATACTCCCAGCTACTGACCTTTGTGAATTGTGTAGTGCAAAATTTGTTCAATTAACGATGCCACATAGCTGGCATCTTGTAAAACAGGCAAATACGTATTCTCAGATGAAAATACCTCAAGCATTCTCATAGGAAGTGCAACATTCAGATTGTCATCGTTGCAGTTTTGTAGTAACCTATAAATCAAATATAATTAATAATGATTTAACATAGGAGAAAATTGTTCATAGTCAAGTAAAGATACAGGCATTGTTTTCAAAATAAGTTAGCACATTTTCAGATCCATCTTAAAAATTACTTGCTCATTACTTTTTACTTGTTGAGTAACCTTGGGACACTGCAACTGGCATACTAGATCAAATCAGGTCTCTTTAAGCAATATCCTAACAGTAGCCAGTGGCCAGAACAAGGTTCTTTAGAGGAGATAACAGAAACCCCATTTTAGGTAGATGTGAGAGAATCTCTCCAGGGTTGCTCAGACAACAATCCCCACCCCAAATCTGATAATCCTGAGACTGCTCTGATAAGAGGGAGCAAGAGAGCCCAGCAGCTCAGAGGACTTCCTCCCCCACAATATGAGTAATAGGATGGCTTCTGTGTTCCCTCCTTCTACCTACAACAAGTGGCCTGGAAGTGGGGAGCAGCAGACCCTGTTACAAGATACCTTTTTCCCCTTGCTTCAAAGGGGAAGCAAATAAGTCGTTGAGAAGAATGGGGCTAGAGTGAGGAATCAGTGCTGACAAGGCGACCAGAATTAGTGGGCTACGTTGGGGCTGAGCAGATTGGAAGAGGACAAAAGAGGACAACTAGACAAAGCTGGAGGCCAGACAGAACTGATACAGGGACGAAAACTGGCATAGGGGTTGGAAGAACAAGACTGCTAGGGAAGGCTGGAAGGCAAATTGATTGCTAGGCATGGGACAGATAGATGGAAAAAAGATGAACACTCCTAAGAGATAAAAATCACTTAAGCTTAGTGGTTAGAACAAATTCAGAAAAACAATAAGTTGGTAGCATCACTTTAATGCAGTGAAAAAACTCATGCAAACTATGTCAAGCTTTTATACTTAAACATGACTCATCTTTGTGCATCAATTAATTTTTTATGCATTTCTATTTTTTCAGCTGAATTTTCTACTAAATCTACATTACCTACACAACAGTTTAAATTCAGAAATATTTTCATGTGGAAATCAAAAGTACTTTTCAACAATCCTATTGGTGCCTACTCTGCAGTGATGCATAGCTTCAGTTCTAACCCTATAGTAGACTAAATTGTCATAGATAGTTGAAAACTTATGTTAGCGTATAAAAACAAACGTTTAATTTCCACAGCATTTATCATGTGTATAGAAGAGATTTAAACATTGAAAAACCTATGTCGATAAATGAATACAATAGTTCAGCTGCTCTAAATAAAGTATCATACATAGAAGAAAATACTGAGCTCTGAGATAATAAAGAAATTCTCAAGGAGAATAAATAGTTGACATTGTTTCCAATTTGGAAACTACAAACTGCAGCTCAAACTATCGTAAATCTTCACTTCTAGCACAGCAATAAGAAACAAAATGTCTAACTAGAACTGGATTCCACTGTATTTTGTGGTTTAAGCCAAACCACGTAAAAGGAAATTATCACTATGTATGTTGTGCACACAGTTATAGAATGCGCAAGGCAGTAATTCTCTAGAAACATTGTTAACACTAAGCAAACTCAGATCATGTAACAATACAAGTCTTCCTCATTGTTTCCACTGTTGGCTTCACACTGCATATCAACAGATACCATTAGCCTCTTTACTAACCCTTTTAAACCAAGAGAGGGGAGCTGGCTACTTCTATCACACTACTGTGATAAAACACCTTTCTGGCTGCAAAGAAGAAAGTGGACATCAGAAGCCAGCAATCTGTGAATTTTGCTTGCTGTGACCTGATGAACTTCATTCAAAGGGTTGCTCTGTACCATGACTACATTATACTAAAGTCAATGAGATGCATGCATGACATGTCCCAAGTTCAAAATAAAGTAGGAAGAAAAAGTGTTTTAAATAATTATTATTAGTCTCAAAACAGCAGTAAAGAACTCCACCAAGGGCCTTTACTGACTAGCTGGGATTAGCAGTGCAATTCATATAATTCCTTCCCAGCAGTCATTAGTTCCCAGGAAACATTCTGTCCTGGATTATTATTGCCAATGATCCCAAATGGGGAACACACTTAATCACATTCTTAAATCCATCCATAGGCATGGCATGCCTTGACCATATCTTTAACTGTAAAGTCAATGCAGCTTGTGCAGGGGCTTATCGTTCTGCTTTGCCTACATACTTCGTTGGAATTAAAAATGAAATACATTAAAAATCTTCTCTGCTATACAAATAAAATTACATATATTTTTTTGTCCGCATACTCTGAGGTATTTGCATGACAATGAAAAAGCTTTACCTGCAACATAGGCCCAACAGTCTTTTTATTTGAAATAAACAGGTAAGTCTATCAGGACCATCCAGTTGCTTCACAAACTGAGAATTTTGTTTAATTAAGTTCTGGCACATCCATATCTGTGAAAAAGAAAAATGCACAGGTTTGATCAAAAATACTGAAAAACGGAATGCATTATGAACAGTTTGCTGAAAAGTCCCCGACTCAACCAACAGTCCCAATAAAACCAATGAAACTATCACATAAATGAGTCAATACAAGTCAAGGTATTACATTTTGGTTTTACATAAGAAGAAATAAAAAAGTACCATCTGCTACATTATATGGTATATAAAATTAGGTGTATGCATAACTAAAAATAGTTATGAACTAACTAATGAGAAGATGACACTCACTAATCAATAAAACATCTATATAAGCAAGGTCAGACTGAGGCACTGGGATAATAATCCATGCCTCAGGCTCCAACTCCTGGATTATTTTACTAAAGCATAATCTCATTTTTCATAAAATGCAATTTCTAGCCCTAGTTCTTCCAAAGAAAAGTTGAACAAATTGTATCTGAATATGAACAAATTGTGCCTATCTGAAGTAAGAGCTCTAATGTGTAAGCTGTGCTAGACAGTGCAATAAAACGCTAACTCTGAGACCCAACTGGGGTGTCATGCTAACACCTTCTCAGCAAAGGAACGACTCTGAAAGAAGAAAAATGCAACAAATCAGGCCCACCCAACCAAACAGATATCTCCCAACTGCTGGAAGTACTTGGCCTCCGTAAATTCTGCCACTCTTGCTTCATGTAAGATTTGGTGAAAGCAGAAGTGGATTCCTCTACTCCACCATCAGACAGGACCAGAAGCATAGCAGGCTCCAGCATGTAGGCATGTCAAGGGACCCCAACTGTTTCATTTTGGTCCCAAATCTACTATGGAAAGCCTGCATGCAAAAAGGTTTCCTCTAGGATTCTCTTAAATAACAATATCACTTTATAGTTTGTGAAAAAATAGTATTTTGTTCCTCACTGCTGCACAAATCATTCATGCTTATAGCACTTTGCTGCTGAACTAGATATAGCCTTTAAAATTCTTTGATTTTTTAAATTTTTAACCAGAATATTTCCAAATATGCACTCAAATATAAGGTGAGCCCCCACTCCGATCAGTCTTATGTTCTCATACCAGGAAACCTTCCCCCTTCCCCGCCCCACAAAACTACACTGCCTATCATTAAATTGCTGCTAGAAGCAGCATGTGCTCACTCAAGGAAACCACCTATGAAGCTTATTCAGTGTAGTCAACACCGAATATGGCCATAAACCCACAATGGGCAAAACACACTGATAGAAACATGCTTGTGCTCCTGTGTCCCTTAAAAAACAGCCAGCTATTCTTCCAAGAGGAAACGAGCACCAGACCTGGAGGTACTACAATACCAGGCCGGCACTTGGAGAGGCTGCAGCAAGCTCTCACACTGTCTCCTGGTGCCAAAAATCCTGATGGGAACCTTTTTTTAAGGGACAAATAAATTAGTTAATTAATTAAAAGGGAAGGAGTTCCCTCCACAGGGAACTGCCACAGGGTCTGGAGGTACTACAATAGCCAGCACTGGGAGGGCCAGAACCAACCCTGACACCCTCCCCTTGGTGCCAAAAATGCTACATTTGATATGCTGAACCTTTTTATTTTCTCCAAGTTTTATTAAAAACACACCTATCACCCTACACTTACAAAGCTTCACCTATTGAGCAACCTTGTTTTACCAAAACGTTATAGCGCAAAGACAACTATACATCCAAAAACATACAACTACATATAAATGCAACCCTCAAACAACAGGCATTGACTTCCCACAAAAGAAACTAGAGGTGCACCAACACATCAGTCCCATATTGTATCAGCACCGATAAAAGGAAAATTGACAGTATTGGCAATCGGCTTTTTTTTTGGTTGATGTGGCCAATAATGTTGCCAATAAATGTTGCACGCATGCGTGCAGCTGCAGCGCAGTATGCAGGCAGCCAGGAGTGCAACTTGGCAGTGTGGAAAGCAGCGTCCAGCTGGTAAGTCTGTTGTGGGGGAAGGGAAGCGGCGTGGGGGGGCAGACTGAGGCCCCCGTGATGAGGGAGGGAGTGGGCTGGGGCCAGGTAGGTTCCAGAACATCTGGTTGGGGGGGGGGGTGCTAATGAGCATGTGGATCCTTTTTGGGGGGGTGTATCTGGAATACAGACACATGGTGTCTACAAGGTAAATCGAGCCTTTTGGCACTGGACTAAAATCATGCATAATTAGTATTATGTACAAGCAGAAATGACTGTAGCAGGGTGCAGGGCCCGGGGAAAATCAGCCTGTGTGGGACCTGGATGCAGAGGCGGTGGGGGGTGGGAGGGGAGCAGACAGATGCAAAGCCGGTCCAGCTCCGCAGGGCCTGGGGCAGTCACCCCAATTTGCCCCCTCCCTAGGGACAGCCCTGTGTATAAGTAGGTACAAAAGTACTGCTCAAAAGTATGTTTATGGAGTACCTGTGCTGAAACCTGCAGCAGTTTGCAACAAGTTAAAATTCATCAGTTCTGGATTAACTTACCCATTTTAGCTGATTTTTTAAATTAAATCTCCATAATTTTACAAGGAGGAAGCAAGTTTGACCACCTGAACCAGAGATCCTGCTCCTGCCTTTGTTCAAGGTAATTTGCATCATCACAGAGCCTCATCACATAGCTGAGACACCTTACCAGATCAGAAATGCCTGCCCAGAAAAGCATTCCATCTATTTACTCCTCCGTGAAATATGAAACACCATAACCAGAAGGAAATATCTACATTCTCCTTACTACCAAACAACTTCAAGGCAAACAGACTATTCCAACTTTTCTCTGAGCCTAATCTGCATATAAAATGAACTATTCCAAACAGGAGATTTTACCACACCTTCACTCTTCTATGAAATAAGAACTATCATTTCTACCCAGGAGAACACTTACAATCTTTCCTTTTTAAAATTCTAGACCTGCCTATGCCTGATGAAGGATGTTTATGCCAGAAAGCTTGTAATTAAAGAATTTTTTTTGCAAAAATCTAGTTGGTCTAATAAAAGATATCACACCTCTATCACAAGTCCTGATTGCTTTTGCAAGTTACTATGGCCATTTTTATTGCAAAGTCAGTGGTTTTTTGGTCCCTTGCACTTCAAATAAACAAGATGGAAAGAGGGGGCAGGCAACTGCTGCAAATCCTGTGTCTGGGTCAGGGCCAGAGTCAGACCCACAGCAGCCTCTTGTCCCCATCTGCTTACCCTCTACAGCTTCTGCCCTCCCCTCTGTCCCTTTCAACTCACTTACTGTCACAGACATCTCACTTACTTCCACGTTGTGCTTGGGGAAGAGAACAGAGCCTGAGCAATCTGACAGTAAGGGGAGGGAAAACAGGAAGGCTGCAAGTGGAAAATGGGAGGTGGGGGTGAAGGCAAGGGGACCACCTGAGCCCCCCAGCCACTATTTTCCCTGCTGTAGCAGCGGGAGGAGATGAATTCAAGACAACCCTCTGATAAGCAGATTCTACACCAGGAAAATTATAACAAATGTATAAAGTTTCCATATATAGAATCTAATTATTGGGGGCTCGTTTCATATTCAGGCTTCTCTTATATTCAAGTAAATATAGCATTCTATCATTCATGCCTGCTATCTCTTCCCTAAATCCTCAAAGTGAAAGTCTTCCGTGACTAGCATCATAAATAAAGTCAAAAAAGGGTGCAGCACTAAAGAGCATATAACAAGTGTAAATCCTGCATTCAGCAATAATAAATTCTAATTTTGCTTTCTCTCTGACCTGGATTCGCTGCTAAAGTTTTATGATTCTTTTAATGTTTTACGCATTTTTTATGTCTTTATTCATTGCTCATTTCCATTGAAGTTAATGTAATTATCAATTATGTTATTCTTTCAATAGAAATACCTCCAAAAACCCTGATGACATATGAACAAGTCAGGGTTAAGTACCACCTCTCTTAACCAGACTTTTTAAAAATAATTTATAATGATTGGCAAATGTTGTTGACTTTTTTGTTTCTATTGCTACAGAACAGGAAGGGCAGAAGATGAAATAATGCCTGTTTGGAAGTTGCCATGAAAATACTAAATGTTTGGAAGAAAGATTGGAATATTAGTTTAAATATGAACTGGGAACTATATCTTACTTCATCAAGAATCTAATATCTAGCTGCTAAAATAAACATTACAGGATGCCTTCTATACAGGCACACTGTTCAGGTGGCAAGTGACAGACAGGCAGGGACAGATCAGGGGGTGCTGTGGAGTGGTCAAAACCCCCTTCTGCTGTGTTGCACAGTGCTGCCACTACAGTCCCTAGTGAAGCCCAGCACCCTCTGCAGCACTCTCCTCAGCTGCAGCCCCCAGGGGGCTGGAACAGGGACCAGCTTACTGCCACTGCTGTCCCTAGCAGAGCCTGGCACCCCATGCAGCTGATCCCTGAAGCTGGAGCCCTCAGACTGGCAGGGGAAAGCTGGAAGGGAAACAAGCAGGGAGAAGCCCAGCACCCCACACAGCAGCTCCCTACAGATGGAGCTTCTGGAAGCAGGCAGAGGCAAGCATTACCTCCATCTAACTCAGGGACAGAACAGGCCACAGGGCTCCTCTCACCCTACTCCAGTCAGGGGATGTGGAGAACAGTTGCATAGCATGCCAGCCCCTGCCCGGGTGGTGGCAGTAGGTGGGTCCCCCCCTTACTACATCTTCTGCCCGCCCTACCCCCAGGGTAGTCCACACTAGCTTGGGGGCTCCAGCCACACCTTGCCCTTACCCTCCCCACAGTCAAGTTACAGCATCAGTAGCATCTGCTGCACCCCCCTTTTTAAAATTCTAGACCTGCCTATGGACCCATGGGAAAATGGTACCACTGGTGACTGATAAACATAAGTAACCTGAGATTATAGGAAGGTGAATTACTTGGAGGTATGGCTTTAAGATTGTCAATTTCTAGTCAAAGATATGGTGTAAGGATTACTATAGGAGTTAAAAAATGACAGAGGTAAAGAAATTATTGAGAAAATATAACAGACTGAGGCTAACTGTTATGAAGATTAAGTTGACCTTGAAAAAAAACAGTGAATTCTGGGAAAACAGAAATGGCTATTTTTTCTCAAATAAGATTAAACACAAAGCATCATGTAAGCATTACTGAAAGTTATGCTAGGGTATATAGTCCATACAATTTCTGATCTGGTTGAAAGGTCTTACTGCTGAAACTGGCTTTAAAAAAAACCCCCATATACATGTGCAGAATTATAGTCAACTCATTTTAGTTCCCACGTTCTAACAGAAAACAAGTAAATATAGCTTCCTGTTATTATTTACTTCCTTTGCCTATAACTGAGTCATCAATGTCAGCAGGCATTTCCTCTGGAAAAAACTTATAACAACTGGGTTAGCAGGGGATGCACATATTCCAATGTGACACAAAATAGCTTTGTTATTTTCTAAATCTCAGATATAGACTAGTAGAATAAATAGACATATCAGGCATTAAAACTGTGTGTTTAAGTGCCATACATACTTACAGTGTTATATTAATACACTAGGTATACCCATGCAGAGACAAAAAATTCATAGTTAAAATATGCTGCCTAAGACATAAGTCATTCTAAATTGAGAAATAATACAGGGGAGAATCTCTTTAGATAACGCTTTTAAGATACACAAAACATTCATACTAAATTTATAAAATCTATGCTGAAACATATTTAGAAATGGCTTTATATGCACTACAAAGCATTTTCTTTATAAATTTAAACAGTTGTAACACTTTAATCTTCACACTTTTACACCCTGCTTGATTTCAGGTTTTGGAATTTTACAGTGGCCTGGTAAATGATATGCTGTTCTTATCAACCACTGAAAAATTACGTAGTCAGTATGCAGCTAGAGAATTAGGTACAAATAAAACACCACAGCTAGCAAAGATTGTAAGTACAAGCCATGTAGGGTACTTTACATAAGGTTCTCTCAATTTTGCTTTTGATTTTTAAAACTGAATTATAGTTTCCGTATGCATCAGAAGAAAATCTTGTGACTGTTGCATTTGAATTAGGTTGAGAAGGAAGTACATGGAAGAAAGTAAGACACCAAAAAAATCTAGTAACTTTGTTTTTTCCTGAAACTAGATTTTAAAAATGGTTACAGAAAAGCCACAATTCTAACAAATATATCAAAAGAGTAACTAAGCTTCTTATGCCACTACCCCCTTATTTTTACTGAACAAATTAAAAATAAAGGGTGCTGACAGACATGGAAAAACAAACAAACAAAACAGTGCTTTACCAGAAAAGGAAACACATTCGTTTGACCCAGCTCTCCCAAAGTCTGTACAGATCAGGCACTTCAGCAAGGCTTTTTGGTACTTTTATCTAAAGCTGATTCAATCAGCTATTAAATAAAAGTACCAAGAAGCCCTGCTGAAGCTCCTGATCTATACAGACATTGGGTGAGCTGGGTCAAACTAACGCAATGCCTCTTCTGAGCATGCACTGTGCTCTAGCATGGGGGTACACCAAGCTGAAAGTAAAGCACTAGGTCTCTTTTTTCCACATCTGTAAGCAGCCAATGTGCCTTGAAAATGCAAAAAGTAGGACTATTTACTTCAGATGCAAGTTGCACTGGTACTCACCAAACGCTTAGAATCTTCATTCTGTCTATAGAAAAACAGAAGTTGACGGACTAAGAGGGTCAGATTAGCTCCCCTGGTAGTGGAAAAAGTTCCTCCAGATTGGGCCAAATTAGCACAGCGATCAAATTCACTTCTTTGAAGAGAATGCTAAAAATTTAAAAATAAATTGAAATCATGCATTGCTATCAAAATAGAGGGGCAAAAATTTTAAAATACTGATAACAAGTCTCCATCTTTACTGAGAGGTAAAATAATGAAATGCATGTAGTGCTCTGAGCTTACATATGCATTTAACTGTTCATGTTGTACAGATCCCCTCCGCTAAATTATCCCGATTCTTTGTTCACAATTTATTCTGAAAATTATAATGAAATATGCAAAAATCCAAAGCATTCATAATTACAGCCAGCTCACCTTTTTAATTATTAGAACTATGCTAAATACCATAATTACTCAAACCTAAGATGACCCTGAATTTAAAACAACTGCTCCCCCCAAATTAGATTCTATACATGAAAAATTTGTTATAAATTTTGATGTATATAATCTAATTTTTCGAGGGTCATCTTTAATTCATCCGCCATACTGCTGTAGGAAGGCAGGTGGTGTGGGGAGGTGAAGCAGCTTGCCCTCAGCTTGTGCCTGCCCCCCTGCCACCTCTGCATCCTGCCTGTCCACCAGCTTCAGACCTCACTTCCCCCCCTAGCCTCTGCCTTCCATTTCCACCCCCCCCAGCCTTTACCCTCACTTTGCACCAGCACGCGCCATCCCCATTCTAGTCATTACACACGGTCACAGCCCAGACCCCATGTGCAGGCTGCAAGCTGCTGCAACAGGCTGGGCTGAGGCATACTCAAGAGTCCCGGGCTACAATGTGCATGGGGCCTGCCAGCACAGAACAAAGGTAAAGGGAGGGGGGAAAGGGGAAGGCAGGGGAGCAGAGGCTGCACGGAAGGGGAAAGAATAGAGGAAGATGGGGTGAAAAGGCTTCGTGGGGGGGAGATAGCAGGGTGCAGAGGTGGAGGGGGGAAAGGAAGGCAGCAGCTACAGCCACAGAAGCTGCCTGTTTCCCCCCACATACATGATTCTAAAGGCAAGGGACTTCCCGCCCCCACCCCACTATGTTAAATGGTGGGGGGCATGATCTTAAAAATTAGTAAATATGGTAATTTTAATTGGTTTCTAAGTACAGAATTCCAGATAAACATAAACCCTTTTTGAGCTACTCCACTGTGTAGCGTAGTAGCTCTTCATAAACAGAAATCACCTTCTGACAGAGTGGTAATTAAAAGTATCCCCTTCTAAATCAGCCTCTCAGAAATACAAAAATACACTCTTCTGTATCACACTCAAGGAACACCTCTTCAATCATCTGACATGCATCTGGTCTGCTTTTCAGAAGTGCTAAATAATCCCAACTTATCTTCTTTAAATTTGGGAGCCTTAAGGACCTGATCCAGCAACACTCTTATGCATATGCTTAACTTTATGAACATTAAGATTCACACTAAAGTCAATGCTTATGTGCTTTGCTGAATCAAAGTTTACCTTATAAAAATCAGGCCAAAAAAAATAAAATAAAACCAACTTGTGGGGAAAAAAAACCCTGTATTTCACTATTTTACATGAATTTCATTGGTTCCTAAAATAAGCTACAGCAATTAAAGTTTATCAGTAGAAATGACTAGCAGTAGTGTTAAAAAATGCTAGTTTCAGCTAAACAGTTGCATCTCACCCTTTCCTTCTTTATGGGGAGGAAACACAAAACAAAACAAAAACCTACTTGGTGTTTTCTGTCCCTGTATCCTCGTACAAAGGACTGGATGATTATTGCATTTTTCAGCCTTCGTCTTTCCTCCTAGAAAATAAAGTAAAGGATTAAAATAAAAGATGAAGAACTGATGCTAGTTCTATTGTTTCATCAAATGCATTCTGTTCTCCTGCAGATAGTTCTGTGTTTATAAAAATTAAGTAAGAAATCTTTATCAAAATAAAAGGTGTTTGTCAAATTGATCCACAATTCAAAGATACATAATCTAGATCCCCCAAAGAAAGCTTGTGTGTACAGTCTGTTTACAGCACTATATAAGCAAATTTTAATAATCAGTAACTATATGAAACATTGCTACAATTGCAAAAACTTGATATGAGCTTTAAAAATCTTATTAACCACAGAATTTTACCACCATATTTTTCAATGACTGATTTAAACCTGAGAATTCTCTTGCACCTTTGCCCAGTTTCAGAGTTTCAAGGGTTGTTTCCATTTGGATGAGAAATCAGCTCTAGGGATCAGGTATATTACTGGCGTGAACTCACTGCCTTCAAGGGGACACATTAGTGAGAAAGCTGCTACTGAGACAAAGATGAGGTACTATGGGCCCAGGAAAACGCTATGGAGAGAAAGAATGACATTTCCTCTTCCTTGTAATTCAAATCAGCACCCAGAAATATCTTCAAGTGTCATCCCCTCACAGATACTTATATTCAGAAAGGATTGTGTATAAAGCCAAGTTGGCTCAAGTGGTAAACAAGGGGTAGCACTCCCAGCACAAGTAATTCAGATAGCACTGAGTATCAAGGGAGGCACGCAGAATTAAGTTTCTTTTAACATCCTTACACTTTGGAGGTTCTCAATGGAAGTATAGAGAAAACAAGGCACAAGAATAAAATTTCAGGTAAGGCATTCTTGACGGTAGTGACTGAGGATGGGGAAGTATAGAGATTAGACAAGAGGAAACTCAGCAAATAGCAAATGGAGATATTTGAATCGGGAATATTTGAAAGCTCGTGGCGCACGGGCCAAGTCCCGGAGGACTGGAAAAGGGCCAATGTGGTCCCCATTTTCAAAAAGGGGAGGAAGGAGGACCCGGGCAACTATAGGCCAGTCAGTCTCACCTCCATCCTTGGCAAAGTCTTTGAAAAAATTGTCAAGGCTCACATTTGTAAGAGCCCGGCAGGACAAATTATGATGAGGGGAAACCAGCACGGGTTCGTGGCAGGCAGATCGTGCCTGACCAATCTAGTTTCTTTTTATGACCAGGTTACGAAACGCCTGGACACAGGAGGTGGGGTGGATGTTGTATACTTAGACTTCAGGAAGGCCTTCGATACGGTATCCCACCCCATACTGGTGAACAAGTTAAGAGGCTGTGACTTGGATGACTACACAGTCCGGTGGGTGGCGAATTGGCTGGAGGGTCGCACCCAGAGAGTCGTGGTGGAGGGGTCGGTTTCGACCTGGAAGGGTGTGGGAAGTGGGGTCCCACAGGGTTCGGTCCTTGGACCGATACTCTTTAATGTCTTCATCAGTGACTTGGACGAGGGAGTGAAATGTACTCTGTCCAAATTTGCAGATGACACAAAGCTATGGGGAGATGTGGACACGCCGGAGGGCAGGGAACAGCTGCAAGCAGATCTGGACAGGTTGGACAAGTGGGCAGAAAACAACAGAATGCAGTTCAACAAGGAGAAATGCAAAGTGCTGCACCTAGGGAGGAAAAATGTCCAGCACACCTACAGCCTAGGGAATGACCTGCTGGGTGGCACGGAAGTGGAAAGGGATCTTGGAGTCCTAGTGGACTCCAAGATGAACATGAGTCGGCAGTGTGACGAAGCCATCAAAAAAGCCAATGGCACTTTATCGTGCATCAGCAGATGCATGACGAATAGGTCCAAGGAGGTGATACTTCCCCTCTATCGGGCGCTGGTCAGACCGCAGTTGGAGTACTGCGTGCAATTCTGGGCGCCGCACTTCAAGAGGGATGCGGATAACCTGGAGAGGGTCCAGAGAAGGGCCACTCGTATGGTTAAGGGCCTACAGACCAAGCCCTACGAGGAGAGACTAGAGAAACTGGATCTATTCAGCCTCCGCAAGAGAAGGTTGAGAGGCGACCTTGTGGCTGCCTATAAGTTCATCACGGGGGCACAGAAGGGAATTGGTGAGTATTTATTCACCAAGGCGCCCCCGGGGGTTACAAGAAATAATGGCCACAAGCTAGCAGAGAGCAGATTCTTTCCTGCTTATGCAGGGGGTCGGACTCGATGATCTACTGAGGTCCCTTCCGACCCTAACATCTATGAATCTATGAGATAGATTAGAATTTCTTTGGTTTTTTTTCTTCTTCTTTTTTAAATGTCTGACCAACTCACCCCAATATACATTTTTAAGACTTGTCCAGCAAAAAAAAAAAGGCTAAAGATTTAGTTGATATCTCCATCTACACTCAAAACTGGAAAAAAAAAAAATCACTGTAGCCTGATAAATTATCTTGTCATTCTAATTTACTACTGAGTAACTTACCAAACATACCTCCGTCCAATTTTCTAGGACATGTCATTTTTGAGATGTGGCAGAAAAAGTATTAGAAGAATTTCAGAAACACTTTCTATACCTACAATATATTGTTCAGTTCCATATTCCCAAAAGAGCTGATCATAATCATCTTTTTTCAGCAAATGACTTCCCTGCTAGCCACAGACTAAAGAAGAAAAAATGAAACAATAAGGGCTTCTTTTTAAATGAATAAAGGGCAAAACACAGGAAAAATGTCTCAACCTTAAATAGGGAGAGGCACCGCCTCTTCATAATATCAAAGTAAAATTACATTGAAAGGCAGATAGTTTCTCCCTCTCTGTAGGTATGTTTCATCTTAGAATACATAATTGTCAATTAGTGACCCATAATAGCAAGTGTTTGAAGTCTGAGGTCATGCTGAGATTTCATCACGTGCACTTTTTTTTTAATGCTAACTGATTTTATTCTCAAAGGACTCGTTCTTTTGAAAACTGCCCTATAAGGGAATTTCTTTCATTCTGTAAGCCTGTAACATATGTGGATAGATACTATACATCTAGAGTTGTGCAATACAAGCACTTAAAGCATATGTCTATCAGGTACCGTGTTTTATTTCTTCTGCTAGTACCAGGAACATAATGAGAGTTATCAGCAAAACATTTCTGAAATCCTAAATGGTATTTCTGTATGTTAGTAAAGATTAACAGATCATAAAACTGAGGAGGAATTTAAGATACAAGATACCATATTTGTATGTAAAATTCCAATTACTGAATGTTTTGATTCAGTACACAACTGTACATTCAACTGGGAAATCAAAGCCTTGCAGTTCCTAAAATTCAGTAATTATGATTAGTAAAATCATTGAGCTACAGCAGAACCTGCCATCAGTACGGTACTGGCCAAGCACAGGTTCATGGGACAATAGTTGCACACTTTTGATTAGCATCAGAACTGTACATTTATATTTTAAGCCATTGTTTGAGACAAGACTTACGTCAGATGACTTACTTTCCTTTTATATTACATCATCTTATTACTATATTTATTTGAGACAACTGTGTTCGTAAAATGGTATTTTCTCCCTTTCAGTCCATTTTCTTTTCACATTTAATTCTGAAGTAGAAATTATCCAGAGCAGCTGACTAACGTCTCCAAGTCAGAACTACAGCTTACTATGGACAGAATGAATCACCATCAATGTACTTATCTAGTTCTTTAAATGTTTTACAATACAAGTGAGAATCAAAGGAAATTAGAGTTGGAAAAAACCTCGAGGGGCATCTAGTCTGACTCCCTGCTCAGAGCAGGACCAGCCCCAAATAGATTATCCCAGCCAAGGCTTTGTCTGGCTGGGTCTTAAAAACTTCCAAGGATGGAGATTCTGCAACTTCTCTAGGTAACCTGTTCCAGTGCTTTACTACCCTCGTAGGCAGAAAGTTTTTCCCTAATATCTAACCTAAACTTCCCTTGTTACAACTTGCAGCCAATCACGATGTTGCTTTTATAGATGGGAAAACTGAGGAACAAGGCAAAGCAGCAAATTGTTATCGGTCACCCAAGAAACCAACTGCAGAACCAGGAAAGAAACCAAAGTCTCCTGGGTCCCAATCCAGAGTAACCATTTTTCTGATCACTGGGATGTATGATGAAAATTACTAGTCATTAAAGGCCTGATCTAGTACTCAGAGTGAAGGGAAAAATTCCCATTGACCCAGTAGGCGTAAGACAAGGAAGTAAATTATCCTCTTCAAGCATTCAAATAATTTTGAGAGTTCTAATACCAACAAGAACAAAATATAAAGCCAATAAACTGAATAATGAAATCCACAGAGCATTTCTGAGTTAAGTTCAACTACAACAAAATAAGAAATTGTGAACCATAAACTTCTGAACTAGATACCAGCATATATGAAAGCTTTTATTTCCCCCAAGATGCAATTTCTATGTTACCTCTCGTTTCCGCCTTTCTTCTTGGGTACGATGTAGTAGAGAAGCTTTTTCTTCCTGAAAAAGAAAAAAATGTTGCTGCAGTGTTTTCACTCAAACATGTTCATTCAAAAGTTCAAGTATTTGTATAAAATAAAGATGCGCCTTTTAAATGGCTCAACATGAAAGATACTTTACATTTTCAACAAAATGTAGAAAAGTGAATTTCCGAGACTTTAATTCTTATGGACCCAGATCAGCTGCAATTACATTTGGTACTTTCCTTCAATTCGTTTGCATTAACAAATAAGCAATTTGCCCATGGTTACATAACAAGCCTGCAGCACAATAAAGTTTTCTTCCCAAGTTTTAGTCCACTACCCTTAAAGGCCAAGTACAACTATTACACTGTTACCAGTATAAAGTGATCAGAAACCAGTCTATACCCATAACAGAACAGAAGTTCACGCACAGACTGGTGGAATTTGTCTATGCGTGAACTTCGTCTAAGATTTGCACCCCCCCCTCCACCTCCCCCCCCACACTGCCCCTGGGGAAATGTTCGTTCTGTTCACTACTGATCTAAACTACACTGTTACAGAAAACCATGTAACTTGGTTCAATTCTGCCTCAGGCTTTCTGAATATCTGTACCTAACCAAAAGCAGCAAGAGGTCTCCCCCGCAGCAACGCATGCTGTGAAAAGCAAGATGCCAAAAAATGTTTTCTAATCATGAAGAATATTTTTTTAAAGTTTCAGTTCTTTTTTGTTATTATCCAAGATTTAATCAAAAGGTACAAAAGGAACCTTCCAGGAAAATGACTGCATAAGTGCTGTTTTGAAAAGCATGACAGCATATTCAAGAGGACTTCAGAAAAAAATACTATTAGATGTAAAAAAATCATCTGAAAATTCACATTTAGACCAATACTAATGAGTCTGCACAAACACAACAAAACTATAATCATGCACTGTTGGTAAAAACCACTTACTAGATAGGTGTATGATGTTTCAAAAGAAAAACTACAGGTATCTGTTTGCCTGTGGTACACAGCATCCAACTCCCACTGGCCCCTGGCACCTCTCCAGGTCTGGGCCAAAACAGACCCTTAAATTAACCTGTGTGTCTATTTCCACTCTTGCCTCCACTACACATGGGGACTGTCTCTCTTTGCCTAAACTCACACAGTCCACAGAAATTAAGAGAAATATTAGTTTTGCAGGAAAACATACACCATGACAAATGAAAGGATTTGGCGGGGGAGGGGGGGGAGAGGGGGCAAGGTATCCTTACTTGTTTTAAATGTATTATTAAAAAAAAAATCTTCTGTGTCTTGAACTCCAAGTATGCAACATACATAGCTGCAGCTACTGACGTTTTAAAACATGTCAAGAAACTGGCACACATTATGACTAGTATCATAATGTGTGCCTACCGAGTATATTCTGTACTGATAGAGGAAATGGTCATAGTCCTCTCTTTAATTTCATTTTATGAAATAAAAGAATTCAATACAAAGCACATAAAAAATTAGCAAAATACTAAAAGAGAATAACCAAAAAAAGGTGAGAAGCACCTAGCCTAAATGGGATTTAGTATTTTTGACAGTACAGTACAGCAAGCAGAAAAAAAAACAATCCTGCAAAAGAGGTTTAATCGCATATTCCTCTAAATACAGTGTCTTTAATGTCCAAAGACACCACAAAAGAAAGTTATTGGTCCTCAAAGAGAAATGTTTCTGCATATGTTAAACTCCATAAAAACAAATAATGAAAAGAATGTAGTTAGATTGTTTGATCTTCACTCTATCATTCAAGTGACAGGAGTCTCTCACCCCGTTTAAGGTAAAGTTTGACCACACCATCCAAATCATAAATTAATACAATTAACAGCATCACAAAAATTAAGTGTCTACAAAGAAATGATAATTGACAGCATGAATCAAGTATGAATTAATTGCTAACATGATTTCAGTACAGAACTTTCTTTTCCAGCAACTGACGTCCTGTGGATGCTCTGGCTCTTGAGGGAACAGTCTCAGAACAACATTCCTGTTTAGAAACAAAATCTCTGACCGCTTACCGGTGATCTCTGTTCCTAGTC